TTGGCTATTAAAATTTATGACCGATATAACCCTGATCTGGTCGTCATTCCTCATTTCTTTTGACTATATTTTTACGGAAAAGTGCTCTTGAAAAATGAAATGAAAAAATGAAACTAAAGCAAACTAAAGAGCATTAAAATTTATAAACTTTTCTTTTGAGGAATTATTCCATCACAAGCCGGTTGGAATAAAGGCGACTCTCAAAAACTTATGACCAATTTTGGTACCCCTCGAAACACTCAACTTAGAATCAAATCCGAGAATCTACAAGTCAGTCGACAATTCTCACTGCATTGAAGATTTTTTTGCTTTTTGAAAACATTAAACGTAAACACTATTCAAGCAAAAAGTATGTCTACTTTAGGAACTGCCAGAAGATATCTTGCTTCGGACTCATGGCGAAGTACGCCTCCAATCAGGAACCAATAAATTCGATTCTCAACGCGGCATGACCGGCTTTGGTACTGGACGTGACGTATGCCGTGAAGGCGTACATGTTAACAATGCCCCGAACCTCAGTGTCAGTATCTGTCTTTTACAGTTGTTGTACAGTCCTAGAACCCGGTTTTACAAAAAATTTCAAAGATGTTTTTTTATAGGGGTGAGAAGCGGGCAGAGAGGAGATTAAAAGAAAATTTCAAACTTTTAAAGATTTTGGTGGTAATTTTGGTGCAGTAAGTAGGTTTTTGTAAAACATAATCACACATTGTAGTCTTTTTCCCATTTTTTGTTATTCTGTAACACTTTCATTTACTAAAAATAACACTGTTTTGAAACGCACTTATATATTTTTCTCTGTATTTATTTTGAACAACGGTTCTGTAGATTTTGGACCCGATTTTGAATTGTTAAGCGATCATACTGAGCTGAAATAATGCCAGTTATAAGTTTTTGAGAAAGGGTACAACATTGGATTAGGTAATATTACTATATTTTTTTTACATCGCTTAACAAGAGAAAGATTCTCCTTTCTTTTTGGCCAACTGTTCAGAAATTATCAGAGTTCAATTGCATTTTTTTAAATATGATTATTTACCCAACAGATTAGTCCCTTTGTGAAGCTTAGTGTACTTAAGGAAGTTTTTAAGAAAAACTTTCTGAGTTGCTACCTTCTTTTTTTTTGCCCTTCAACCACCAGTCTAAAGTTAACAAATTCTCTCATACCTTGCGGTGAGTTAAGCAGCAGTAAGTAGATGTTAGGTGACGTGAGAGAAGGACCTGATAAGCAGTTTTTACAGCTTTGAAATTTGATGATGAACTCTTTTCAGCAACTACCCGAAGAAAAAATTCGTCTGAGTGATGGCATTGTTAGGCTACAAGCAGGTACAAACAAATATGATTCGCAAAAGGTAAGCACTTAGATCGTCAACCTAACCTTTGCTGCTTAGTGATATTTCTATGTTGCAAGTATGAAAACAGTCGAAAAAAACTCAACAAATCCAAAAAAATTTGTCTTGGTAACACCTAAGTCTTCTCAAACCTTATATGAAGCCATTAGCAACTTAAAAAGGTCTACGTTGTTGCACTACTGAACCTTGGTCTTACAGGGTATGACAGGATTTGGAACTTCTCGTAGAGAAACCACCAAAATGGTCGACACCAAACATCCTGAATACGACCATGAGCGACCAGACCAGTCCGAAATCCCACTTCAAGCCGGTACCAACAAGTTTGCTTCTCAGAAGGTAATCAATTCTTATTAAAGACACTTCACAAACCTACAAAAATAAAATTACAAAGTAATCTTTTTTCTAAATTTAGGGCATGACTGGCTTCGGTACCTCTCGTCGAGAAACAACGAAGATTGTTGACACAGCACATCCTGAATATAATCCGGAAAGTAGTATTGATGCTACTACGATCCCTAGTCAGATGGGTAGCAACAAATATGCTTCCCAGAAAGGAATGACTGGATTTGGACAACCTCGTTGGGAGGTATTTTATAAATTGAGCATTTTGCTTGAATAACTTGTCAAGAAAATAATTTTTTCGTAGCATGAGTCATGAACTCAAAAAGCAGACGCTTACATCTGGCGTTACAATTGGTTCGTCTTCATCAGCCTAGTTAATCTTTTCGTGAACAGTCTTTTAAATGTTTGGTCAATTTTTTAAGCCTACGTAAAACAAAAGAACGAACTGTCATACATTCAGGTACTTGATCCCTCAATTTCTTGGCAAAACAGAAAGAGTCAAGGACTTGTTCGTTTACAATCTGGTACAAACAGGTCAGCTTAATATCCAGTTTTGTCAAGTACCAATAGGTTCTTTAATCGTATACGCTGACTGTGGCGCCGTTAATAAAAAAAAAACGCCTTTTTGAAATAACATTTGAATTTTGCAGATTTGCATCACAACAGGGAATGACCGGTTTTGGTACTCCTCGTAATACCACTTATGAGGCTGAGGCTGGCGAGCTACCATACGAGGATATGAAAAAATCAGAAACAATTATTCCCTCACAAGCAGGATGGAACAAGGGTGATTCTCAGAAGGTTAGATAGTAAGAGATACTATCAATCGAAAAAAGAATATTTTGACTTTACACATTACCTTTTGTTTGACTGTCTCTGTTTTCTTTAAGCCGTATGAGGAAATTTCTTGCTCAATTGCTCAATTGCTTAATTCACTTTTTACATAAAATTTATTGCTTTATTCCGGCCATTTTTTATTTTTTGGTCTTGTAATTAGTGGCGAAGAGCAGCCAGTCTATCTCCGAATAGTGTAATTAGCTAATCTAGCTTGATTTTAGGGTATGACCGGATTTGGTGCGCCCCGAGACGTTAAAGGCAAACATCTGAAGCGTATTTGGGAGTTGGAGTATCCAGAAGAAGCCGAAGTTTCGCTCGATCGACTTTAAAGTCTTAAATGTACCAAGGTTAAGAAACCTCCTAATGCTCGCTCATAATTTTCGCTATATTCCAACCGCATTTTTTCTTTAAAAAAAAACAGTACTTGGTTTGATGTTTAGCGAAAAATTTACATGTATTTTAATAAATTACGATTACATCCGTTCAAATTTTGAGTGTCAAAAAGCAGTAATTTTATAAGGTGCTATCAAAAATTGACTGCTAATTTAATGTTACCGTTGCGTTTAATGTTTACCCTTCTAGATGCAAAAATTTTATCGACTGTGAAGTTTTGCTTCAGTGCAAAAAAAAAAAACTGGCTTGATTTGCAAATACAAGAAGATTATTAGTACTTAAGTGAAGTTTTATACAGCTGCCATTATAAGTTTTGCTGTGTTATAAATGCCCTTTTTTTAATTATTTACTGATACTTTGTGTTGTGCTATCCTTAAAACCGACAGATTCTTTTTTCACATATTAACATATCTAACTACAACAGCAAAAAACTTTTCTGTTTCATTATTGATGAAGACCAGAAAGTGTTCGTTTGTCCGGTTGTGTAATCAGCTAAAGTTCGCACTGTACCGGTGTACCAGTAGCTTTTCCATAACAAACTGCAGAACAGGACCTACCCGTATGTTTTACATAGCAGTTGCTCATAATCCATCACTTATCGAAAACACAAAAAATTTTAAAAAGAAAACAAATACTAATACGGTAACAAAAAAAAAATTTTTTTTTCAACTTTTTTAAAGAAAGTAACCTGTGACAACTAAAGAGAACGAGCAAAACTTACTGTCGACGAAATGTTTCATTGATGTTCCAACCAGTTGTCGTCTATGAGACTTGGCTCAATCAACAACATTTTATTTTACAGATATACTTTGTTGTACAAATTTTTGGAAAGTTCTAGAGCGGAGCAAAAAGTTCTAAAAAAAATTGACCAAATAAAAATATTACTATTCTTATTAAAACTTAGTAAATCAAAAAATTCTGAATAAACTTGACTGCAGTGTACAAACGGTGCCTCGTTAATATCTAATTACTGTGAGTTAATCTGTGGTTGTAAGAAAACAGACAAAAATTGAAAAGAAAAAGGAAAACTGTTCCGTTTTTATAAACAAATTAATATCCTCTATGAATAAATTCTATTTTGTTCAGCTAGACCGGTTCACAATCCTCACCAACGACTACAATCAACTGTTATACTGTTTCCTTTCACTTTTTTCAGTCATTCTTTCTTCCACTCTTTTTGTTCAAACATTTTTCAGTTCTCTTGAAATATTAATATTACTGTGAAAATCCAAACAGTAATCAAAAGGTTTTTTTGTAATTTTTTCGGCACAGGTTTAGTATCCTGTACTTTAAAAAAACTACTGCTATTTTCAAGATTTCAATTCAGCTGATAACTGTGGAACGAAATCTTATACCAGCTGGTACTCATTGCGAAGATATGATCCTGGCTTTAAACAATTAATAGTATAGATAGATTTATCTATAAGCAAATACTCATTTCTTTTCATATGCCGGCAATATTGAATTGAACATTTTTTGGCATTTCGTCAACAAAGATCTTTAACATATCGACCACGTAGAAATTTGCTTAATGTAAAATATTTGAATGCAAATTTTTTTATCCAACGGTCCAAGTGCTACAGTAATATAGCACTTTTTCGTTCTCCTTTTTTTTCAGTTTTGAAAAGAAACCGCAAAATCTAAAAAAAAAGGCTCAATTTTATCAAGGTTTTTTTAATTCCCAGGTTTTCAATAGAACTCTCCATACAGTTGGAAGTATAATAAGCAAAAGGGTCAAATTTTTCCAGTTTTTTCCATTTTTTCCTCCCAGTTATACTCAAAAAATTTTTCTGCATAGACTAACTATAGTGGTTCAGTAGAATCATATGTTACTATCTTATATAATAAAATTCCTTTTCAAACCTTTTTTGAAAAACTGTTTTTATTACAACTCTAAAGTTGATACTTTACATGAAGCAACAAAAACAAAGGGAAAAATAGCTTTTTAAAAGCAACTTGAATCTAATTTTGACTACCGAACTCAGTTTCGGCTATTACATTGTATTTAGAAAACAACAGTTTTTTTCCTTTGTCAAAGTTATCGTTGTTAATAAATTTTAGCTGAATCAAAAGTACACAACCAGCAGCAAAAAGCACGTCAAACAAATGATCATTGCTGATATACAAAAGCATATACCTTTACATACACACATATATAAACTTACGTTAATACATACATACATAGTGACATACACACACGCACACACACACACACATGTAAAGAAACAACAGTTGCGAAATCGACAAACATAATTTTGGTTTCAACGGCTTATCTATTTAAACACTCCTAAATGACCGCTATCACCTGTGAAAAAAGAAGAGATGAGCGGAGAAGTGAGAAGAAAAAGTGTTATGGAAAAGGGAACGAAAATTGCTGAAGCAGAAGTTATTCCCATTAGCAAATGACTTACGTTAAAATAAGGGCCATTATTGCGTTCTTCCCAAACATTTGAATAGCAAAATCATTTTTCACATTTCCATCCATTTCTTGCTCTTATCGCCGTAACTAAATTATAAGATACGTAAGTGATAGCAGGTATATCCTAAACAGCTTTTTTTTTATCTTTTACTCTCGTTAGTGTAGTTCTTAAGTGCAGAATTGTTAGCAACAAACTTTTAAACGGAGTAAAAACTATTTGTTTTTTTTCAGTTTATTAGTTTGCTTATCCTTCCGCCTCTCCGATTCGATTACTTTTCCAGTAATCATCCATATTTCCCTTGGATTTTACCGAAGTTCACGAAACAATAGATGATAATGAAAAAGAAAGAAGCAAAACTTGATGTCAGCTACCGCAATTCAAATAATGCGGGGTCTTCTCCCTCTTCTTCCTCAGAAAAAAAAAAAGTATGACAGTTGAGAATTAGACTTTTTTAAATGATCTCTGTAGCCTCCTTTCAGTTGGATTAAATTTTTTTTCATTTCAGAACAAAACAGAAAACTAAAACTTTTACTATTAGTCTCAATTTTAAAACGTTTCATAGCAGTGTTAAAACCGCTTAATTAAGTTGCACAAAGCTGATTGAAAAGTATCAAAAAAGACTGAGTCAACTAAATAAAAGCCTCAAATAACTACGTTATAGAATTAGCATAGTGAAATGTTTCTGTAGCAGTAAATACTGTTTCAGTTAACTCCGTCAACCGTCATCCACCTGTAGTACTTCTCCGTATGTTACATAAACCATTTCTTGGTGAGACGATCAAAAAAGTAGTTTTTGAAAATTGAAAGCAATTGATGCCGGTTTTTTTTGAGAGGTATAAGAAGCCTTTTGATACAGCTGAATATATGCTAAGACTGCTCAGTCTCATTCCGGTGATCCTAATACATTACGTACAAACTGTCTGTAGCGCTTATACCTTTTTACTAGCCTAAAATTTAACGTCTATAAAGTGTTGTGTCTTAAACCTAATCGAGTTTAGAAGTTTTTGCTGTTTATCGATACAAAAATTTAGAACAAAGTTACTGAACAAAAAATAAAAGAAAAAAAGAGAGAAAAAAAAAACGAAGAACTTTTCCGAGGATAAAAATAACGCGACAAAGTAACCTGTGCAACAAATATCTTTAAAAAGAGTCCTTTCTTAGGTGTTGAAGCATCGGTACAGCAGTAAAGTACTTCAGCGATGAGTCAGTCTGTAACAAGTAAACACTGCCGCCAACTTCACTTCAAACTGTACTATCAAAAACAAATTTGTGATACTAAAACTTCAATGCTTAGCTTCTTCGAGTCTTTTTTTGCCACAATTTATTTGTCGCCTCTGTGATTTTGAAACACATAAGACGCAAAAAATGTGAAGAAATAAATCCAAACGCGACGACTGACGACCAAACAGAAACTTTTTTTTTGAAAAAGTGATGATGACTGCCAAAGCAGCCCGACTACGCCATGTCAGTGCATGCAAACAAAGATTCTTTGAAGCAGCACTGGAAACCTATGAAAACAATCGTTATTATTGTATGTCCTCCATACCGGTAATAAATGTCTTTAATCCATCTAAAATCTTTTCTTGTTATCTGCCGAACAAAATTATACCGGAAGAATTTTGGTTGTTATATGCGTCTTATATCATCCTCTCTAGGAATGTTAGATATGATTCATTTGAGAAGACTGAGTAAAAAGCTTAGTTGTTCTTTCAAATGGGCTGTCAATTTTCTAGTAGGGGAGTGAAATACACCGTGCGAATTTTATATATCTTAACTTCTGAGCGGAAAACAACAAAAAAAACTTGAGCATTTTGAAAAAAATTTTTTTTGCCCAAGCCTGTGTAAAACTCATCTAATAAGGTCTTCTTTTGGAGAGAGATCAAATCGATTATTTCCCAATAAAGAGCTGAATAACAGATGTTCACAATTGAGATTGTAGTTATAGAACTCAAACAGCAGACTCTTTTTCAATTATAAACAACTAATCGCCTAAGCTATTTAAGAATTTTTTTACAGAAACAAGTTTGATATCGCATCAGTGGTGGGTGAACCTGAGTAAATGAAAAATGAAGAGTAGGTTTTTTGTTTGACTAACGAAACGCTAATGACTGACAGCGTAATACGCACTGTGTTTTGTAGTTGCTCAACACTAACGTATAATGAGACTTTGTGAAACTGCATGATAATTACCGGTCTTCAGTCGGCCATTCAATGTTTAAGTGAAATTGGCCTCTGAGGTAAAACTGCATCCAGTTTATAACCGTTGATTATGGAGGGCCTCCTTTGTCAAAGGGGTGTACTCAAAAATTTATCTTTGGTCAATCACTTCCGTTGCTCCGTTTGCAATTTCATTATTTAATCTGTCTGCTGAGTGTAACTCTTTTATCATTTGCCTGATCTTCATTCAATTAAGCAATTATGTTAGTTAATGGAACCACTTCAACTTGCAAGGGGCTCCACCGGTTTCCTCAGAACGTTAAGCATTAGAAACAATTTTCTTCTGCAAAAAAAAAACAAAAAAAAAAATTGAAAAAAAGCAGACGATTTTTATTCAGATGGTACTAGACTGCATTTGCCTCAAAAACGACTTTAAAGCACTAAACTTCAGTAATTTTAAATTTCTAACCCGTAATTCAGGACACTCTTGGCACTGTAACTTTACTAAGTAAAAAGTAACGTTTTTAACTTTTCTGATTTCCAGGAAATTGAATCAGTGAGTGAATCTGCTGAACATTTTTAGTGTTTTGCTTCATACAACATAGATGTCGCTTTAATCAACACATTGTGAACTGTAAAACAGTTTTATACGGGAGGAACTTCAAATTTATTCAATTTTGTGACCGACTTCATGGACTCTTCTCTTTATTCGACAATTCCTAAGTTGCAATTCATACTACCTTTCTTAGTGAATAGTAGAGAACGGGCGAAAAAAACCAGACCAAAACGTTTAATTTATTTTAATTGTTTCCTTATTTATAAAAGAAGGTGGCAATAAAAAGGATGTGAAATAGGATAAATGACAATTTTCAACAAATATTTTTTTAATGATGCGCGTTTGTCGTGGCGGCCACATAGGACAGAAGAACATTAAGGTTGAGGAAATAGAAGTGATGTGTTGAATCACATTAGTACCATTTTTTATCAAAGGAATATTTTCTGCAGTCTTGTATCATCGTGATGTCTGGGTAAAATTAGACCAGGACATCAGCTACAGCTTAGGTGCTTTCAGTTGTGACAAAAAACGATTAGCGAGCGCTTGAAGTCTTTCAGCTAATCAGTATAACTCGACAGATCATCGAATATTGAGATCTTTCTCATACTGCAGCTCTTTCTCTGTCTCACCCGCGGTATTCCTTCCTCCCTCTCCCTCCACTCCTCTTCTTTGCTTCCTCCTTCTTTCACTATTTTTCTTTCTCAAAACAAGGTGAGAGTTAGTTTGGGAAAAGAAGAACAAGGAAAAAAAGTTTTGTGATTGCTCAACGAAGAGACGGTGAATGCGGTAAAAGGAACATGTAATCAAAAGAAGTAATACCAACAGCAATCACTGATAGTTTACAAAATCACGCAGTTCAGTAAAAGTTTCGAGAAAGACGATGAAAAAAGCTGCAACAAACTGGATTCAGAGAGTTGGTACAGGAAAAAAAATTTTTTTTACCAGAAGAGAGAGAGATGAGAAGAGCAAATAATAGCAGAAGTAGTTTAAAAGAAGGCGAACACTTCATTTGCAATGTTTATAGAACACGGGCTCTGATTGAGGTTTCGAAAAAATTTTTTTTCAATTTTTTTTCCTCCTAGCAAAAGCGATCTGGAAGAAAGAGCAGTTCAACAAATGGCAGCTAAAGAAGCCACGGAAGCAGAGACTGCTTTATGCTAGACATTATGAGAAAAGAGGCAAACAGGAAGGGGAATCCCCCGCGTATGACAACAAATATATACTGATGCCAAGCCATCATCGTTATTGGAATACCGACCAATGAGATTGTATGAAAGCTTCGTTTGAATTGTAGCCACAAATAATCTTTATAATTGTGATTAGAAAGCTATGCTTTCAGATAAGTCAGTATCGTCCAGTTATGATGTTTTACCTGTATTTTCATTTTTTATTTACATTTGTATTATAATTTCTGTTTTTATTTTTGTCTCAATATCTGTTTCTAATTAACGTTTTTGCCTCTTGTTCATTACATTGTCTTCTGTGATGTGCATAACCTAACAGCTTTTTTGATCTTTGAGTTGTACTGCTTAGTTTCGAATTTCTTTTTTCTTTGTACTACTGCTTTTTTTTTTCTTTCTGGCTGCATGCAAGTTTTAAGCGGAAAAAATTTCTAGAGAAGTTTTGTGGGAATTATTGCTGGGATTTAAGAGGCCCAAAGAAATAAAGGGCTAAAGATTTCGAAGCGAGGGCGTTAACTGCTGGCAAGAGGTGCGCAAAAGAAGAAAGACTGTCACCAAGACAAATCCCTAGTTGCCTCGTTTGCGCTATTCATTGCTAACTCTGAACCGTCAACCGATCGCTATGGCTCAACCAGCTAATGGTAAGTCATTTTGTGATCACCTCGGTCCCTATCGGTTTACAATTATGTAAATGTGTTATTAATTTTATTTTTCTAAATTCTTTTTATCAGCTGATAGCTGTATGTTTCTGTCTGCCTGTGGGTCTGTGTGTACGTCTGTGTCTATTTGTGTATCTGTATTTCTCT